CCCCCCCGATTTTTCATACATCCCCAAAATCCAAATGTTTCCACACACACACAAAATAAAAAAATGTAAAAAAAATTGCCTCCCATATCTTTTTGCCAAAGCCTCAGGTCCACTGACAGTGAAGATAGTATATTAGATAATGCACTTATAATATCAACAGCGGCTGGGAAAAATGTTGCATCTTGACTCCACTTTTCTCATCATAAATCATCTCAATAAAAGTCATTATATAAGTGCTGGAAAGACACAAATTCTGGATTGAGAAACATTTACCAATGTTGATGGGAAATACTTTGAAAATTCTCTTCACTCCCCATAGACTTTGTACACAACTGCTGAAGTGGAGTCAGGATGCAACATTTTTTCCAACGGCTGCAATTATTTTCTTTCGGCGAATGCATTGGAATGTAAAGCCTAGGTCACGAGCACTTTCGACAATAGGATTTGTGTACAGGTCAGATGACGCTAGTCGTCGATTTAACCATGGATTTAACCGAGGCCAACTTACCATTTTCGGGTACAGCCATTGAGGCATGATTGCCTGCGAGTCGAAGAAGACGGTGATGAAGATGTGACTGGCAAAATACACCACAATCACCCATTCTAAAACTCGAGTTAATCCTTTGGCCATGACGCGGTCACTTGTCTGTACTGCAGTCTTGGTGTATTCAATTCAATGCACTGTGCAATCGTCAATGGCGGCCACTCTCTGCAGTTCGGCTATGCCAAAAATGCTTTGTAATTGGCACTTAATCTCGGCACGCGATATACGCCCTGGATCTGTTCATTTCCACGCACAAACAAGCCAGGTAGCTGGGTTAACTGCTGGTACCTGCAAAATCGGTGGACTTTGCTTTGAATTCGCATGAGCTGAGCGAACTCTGACCCGTTTTTAATCTTGCCGCGGCATTGTGATCTTGCCCATCTTCAAATCGATTCCGATTTCGAATAAGCTTTGATTATGGGTCGGCTCATCAAGTTTTTCAAATCGTGGTTTTTAACAAAAATCATATGACGCCTTGTTGCTTTTTAGCGTGGTTTACCATTGGTATGGTTTCGTTTTGAAGCCAAATACTTGACTTCTGAAACTTTTAAGTCATAAAGGTAAAATCAAGATCAGAATAGTTGACTTTCGCAATGGAGAAAGATAACTACCATGTCACAGAGACAAGCCCCACTTTGCAAAATACTATCCATACCTCGTGGGATTTCTGAAATGGTACGTTCTGGTTTGTAATCTGGCCACAGACTCTAATTGGGTATAATGCGGACAGTGATCAGCTGTGGTTAACGGCTTGACATTCGTGGCTTTGTAAACAGTTTCTTCCGTTTTTCTTAGCTGTCTTGAATGTCTCTCCATCTGCTGAATCGTAATGGAGACCGATTCCAAGTTTGTGCTAGGAATTGATTTAGGAACATCTTCCGTGAAAGTCTGTGTGTACGATCCCGAAACCGAGCACACCGTCCAGAGCGCAGTGAGCGAAACGAACGCGAAGATCACGCGGGAGCTGCAGCCTCCGGGCGCGGCGGAGCAAGACGTGACGAAGATTTTAGAAGCTTGCGAGGCTTGCCTGAGGAGACTGGATGCAGATCATCTCAAGCAGGTACAGTGCATTGGAATCGCCGGTCAGATGCACGGATGCGTCTGCTGGTCTGGGCATGATGGGACAGAACTTAATCCAGGCCTTAATCAACTCGATTGGTTCGACCAGTCGATCCTCACCAGCCAGCTCGTCACCTGGCAAGACGGTCGATGCACGCCTGAATTCATCGCTACCCTACCCAAGCCAGACTCACACCTTAGGCTTGCTACTGGCCATGGTTGTGCCACCCTATTCTGGTTGCAGCAGAACTCGCCTCAGATTGTGGAGAGATTTGAGCATGCTGGAACAGTGATGGATCTGCTGGTTGCCATGTTGTGCAACCTTACTGCCACCGTCATGTCTGTCCAAAATGCAGCCAGTTGGGGTTATTTCAATGTCACAGAAAAACAATGGAATCAGGAAATGTAAGAATTCTTATTTCAAGCTTACCAATATGAGAAAAATCACAATTTTTTGCTTTTACAAAAAAATGCTTTTGTAAACAATCTTTCAATTTAATTTGACCTATTAACAAAATTGTAATGACTAATGCAGCAATAGTTTCAACAAGCTCGTCATTATCCATTTATCCCTTTCCAACCACCTTCAACCCCCTTGATAAAAAAAAAGTAATTGCCGTATAAAACAAATTGTGGTGTCTATATTTCCATTGTGTTAGCTTGCACTGAATTGTCTCCCTGTCTTATACAGTTGTAGAATTCTTTATTTCTTGGTTTCTCAGACTGTCATCAGCTGGTTTCCCTGTCCATCTGTTGCCTAAGGTCGTTGACCCTGGATCCATTGTGGGCAAGTTGTGTTCGTCTTGGTGTGGCATCCCAGCTGGCTGTGAGGTTGGAGTTGCTATGGGGGATCTACCATGCTCTGTTCTACCATCACTTGAATGGCAAACTGATGCAGGTACCACCCACACTGCCACTAGCCCCTCCCCTCTCTTTCCTCTTCCCTCCAGGCCCTCAAACCAAAGCATGAGCAACCCCCCTACTAGCCCCACCCCCTCTTGCTCCTTCATTCCTAACTTACCAAAGCACTGAAGAACAAGCCCTCCCTACTAGCACTGGCCCCTCCCCTTTCAGGCTCCTCTCCCAACCCTCCCACCAAAGCACAAGAAGCCCCGCCCTACTACTGACCCCTCCCTCTCTGCGGCCTCTAAACTCCAAGCCCTCTCGCGGAAATACAAAACACCCTGTTCAAATTTCCAAATTCCAACTTGATTTCAAGGGGGATTCTGAAGGAATCTTAAAATACGAACCATTTTGATGTTCATTGACCCAACTGCTTAATTTGTTCTCAAACAAAATGATTCTGAAAATAATGAAATGTTTTCAACTAAAATTTGCATACCCCCCAACTTTTAGTTACAAAAATAGCGAGCTTGCACCATTTTACCCTGCAACATCGTCACCAGAACCAACCACCCACTTTACTTCTACTTCTGTCACACCGCTTCCTCAGTCATTGGATAGTCCAACTTTTACCCAATATAAGAACAGTTCTGAGGTTTATGTAGTATGTACCAGTGAGAGGTACAGTACGTGAGTGATAGGCACTGCCACTTATATCTTTTCCTCTAGTTGTGAACATCAGTACGTCAGCGCAGCTTGTCACCAGCACGCCGCCTGCCTTCAACCCACCGAAATCCACTCCTAGCTCGACGGTCGAATATTTCCCCTACTTCAGAGGTCAGTATCTTGCTGTAGCTGCGGCGCTGACCGGCGGTAACGTCTTGGAACATTTCGTCTCGACAATGCAGGAGTGGGCAAGAGAGCTTGGCTTACAGATTTCAAAGGATGAGGCTTATGAAAAGATGATTGAGAAAGGGCTAGGAGTGGAAGAGACTGATCTTTGGATCGTCCCAACTTTATTCGGGGAGAGACACATTCCATCTCAGAGGGCTAGCATTCTGAATCTGACAATGGCAAACGCGAGCCTTGGAGATACAACACGCGCTCTGTGTCAGGGGGTTATCCAAAATCTCCACGATATGATGTCCAAGAAAGATCTCTTCGACCGAGGCATTAAGAGGATCATCGGATGCGGGAGCGCGCTGCTGCGAAACAAAGTCTTGATGCAGGAACTGGAGAGGGCATTCCAACTACCGGTAGACTACAAGAAAGGGGGTGACGCGGCAGAAGGTGCGGCTGTGGCTATGGCCATGTTAGTAAAGCAACAGACAGAAAAGCCATAACTTGGGACTTACAGAAAATTCACAATGTGGCTGTAGGCTGCAATGAACTCCATCTTACAATGATTATTGAAGATGAGTTGCCGAGGAAGGTGAACAAAATTAAAGATGAGCACAAGAAAAATTACACTTCTCGACATCAGCACATGTAGGCATTCACAATACAAACAAGGTTTGAACACCTAGAAGAAAATCTCCACAGTTGACATATTTTGTGTTTCATAGACGGATATATTTAATGTACACATTTTCCTTCCTCAAAATAAATACACTTGATGATGAACCTCAAAAAAATGCTTTTTCTTTCTGAGTTGAAAAAATAAAGAAATTTTAATTGAGACCTGGGCGACTTGTGTCCAAGAGACAGAGAAGAAACTTGATCTATGTAGTTTTCAATCTAAAATGTGAGAGTCCAATCTTTCCTGGAACAAAATGTTTGATTTTTTTCAAAATCCAGATTCAATTTTGGAAATTGCAAATTGAACTAAGTTCATTTTTAACAATAGTGTTTAAAGTCTCATTTAATACCAATTTGGAATTGATCGCAGACTTCACAGGAAGCTTAGTCTGGCGAGCTGCTGATAGCCCCAGACAGTCTCACTGATTGTATTTCCACGGCATTTTTTCAAGATCAAAGACGATACTGTACTGGGTAATAATGCAGCTCCGATCCAGTGACTTTGTAAATGATGAGGAAGTCTAGCCGCCCTCCCATCCCAAACCCCTCCCCCTAAAAAAAAAAAAAACAAAGGAGTCCTCCGGCACCAAATCTCAGTGATTCCAGCTTTTGCTCGCTGTGGTCAGCTGTTCGTGCTCTGCTGTTTGCCCTGTCCGGTTTTGCTGAGCTGTTACAGAGGCACAGAGGAAAATATGAAAAGGACCAGGAACAACTTAGGTTGCCCCTCCCCATCCCAAAACTGCAGACTAGGTTCATACTTGGTGCGGGGGTGAATGTGAGATTGTGACATCAGATCAAATGTTCATGCTGTGAAATTTGCAAAAGATGAACATAGTAACATGAAGAACTGAAGGCAAGACAATAAAGCACTCAGCTATACCAGTCAGTCCATGGCGTCATACCTGACGAGACCGTTGACTGGCCACAGAGCACTATCTCGGCGCAATATCTTTTTGAAAAATCACTTGGCGTTCTAAATGCAACAGGTCATTGCATCATGCGATTTGTCCACTCTCGGAAACGACGGCGTAGGAAACCATTGTGCTTGATTGTTTTATCACTGTGACCATACTCCACAGAGGAAAACTGGGTGTCTCATTTTAACAGTTAAATTTCATGTTTTCTGCTCATCACAGAAATATCTGTATTCTTAAAGTATGCACTTGAGCCAGAAATTCCTTATTAAATAGTAAAATATTCTAATGTATGCAGAAAAAGCGTCTTTAGTTATTGAAAATATTCTGCACTATGATTTGACACTAGGGAGAGAAGTACTTACATGCTGTCAAGTTGAGAGAAGTTGGTTGTCATGGCAGTGAAGAAAAGAAAATATAAATATGTTAATAGAATATAAAAATGTTAACATCTTGTTGATTTTAATGTTAAATTTGAACCTCAAATCACTGTGCTACTGTTGATCCAAGGTCTGCTTTCTTCAACTAAAAAACATCCAGATTTTTAACTGTAACAGTAATTACCTTCACAACGTCCACCCAATTCCAACCTCGTGGCATCTCTCCTTTGTAATCTGAGGCCAAAAAGAGATCAAAATCCTTTTCCAATGAGCCCTTTAATACACACGTACACACTGTCCCAATGTTACATGATATGTACAGCTTGTTCCACTCCAATGGCATTCCTATTTGCTCAACATGGGGACAAACGTGCGTGAGTTACACCTTCCAGCGACAAGCTGTAAAGCAGACGTGGAAATTGGATATTTCCTTCCAAGATTGGGCCCAGAAGTGTTTTCACAGGCCTTAATTTTTCAAGGTGTATGTGTCACATTTGACATCAAGATCCAAAATTCAAACATGTAACAGGGTTCTGTGAATCTGCCTTCCTGATTTGGCTCAAACTTCTTACAATTTCAAGCCAATGGACCAAATTGCTTTTTTCTTCGCTGAAATTCCTGAAAAATTCTTTGGATTATACAAAGAACAAGCAAGGCATGTTTAAAAAATAATTCTGACAGTCAATATTTGTATATTTCAAATGTTGTACCTATTCCCATAGTCTTGGTTTACAATGATCAAAATCTACTAATCCAACCCCCTCCAATCCTTCAAAATCTACCAGAAGGTTTGGAGGCTTTTGTAGGATTGAGGAAGGAAGAATCCAGCCAACATTACTTTATGGGGTTTGATGACTCTTAAAAGTTCATGGAAGGTAGGGTGAAAGATTTTGGGAGATTCAGGATGGCTAGTAATTTCCTCTGGAGGTTTTAGGTGAAAGGCTCAGAGAGTTTGGGTGAATATGGTCCCAACTAAACCCACCTGTTCTGTTTGCCAGCTTCCGTTTCTGTGCTTTGGTCAATATTTCCTTTTTTTCTTTTGTCTTAGATGCTGCAACTGATTCTGGTGTACTCTTTTTGTCTTCCTGCGTTCAAGTCAAAAGAACATTCTTTTTTCTTTTCTGTCAATTTCATCAATTAAAGGATGTCTTATATAATCAGATTTCTTATCTTAATGGATCAGGTTAAATATCACTGTTGATATGCACACTTTTGTTTACAGTTTGTTTATTTTGCTAGCATAATAAAAAGTTTCACCAACTTTGGAGCAGTAGAGATTACTCAAAAGAGAGCCACACTGCATGTGTGTACCGTACAGCGTATGCATGGGTAATTTTCATCAGAATGTGCACAAATTTAAACTTCACTTATGACTGCTGAATGGGTACTTGTGTAGGGTATCCACAGGTAGAATGTTAAAGCTTATCACACCTTAATTTCTGGCGGCTCCTCTGTCTGTTCAGACATGAGGTCGTCCGCATTCTCTTTGGCCCATTCAAAGAGAGTATACGTCATTGCACTACCCAACCATTGCTCTGCCTGTAAGCAAAAAAGGTCAGATTATGAGTGAAAAAGATAACTTTATAATGAAATTGATCGTTTCTTTGATGTGGCGTTCTTTATGTTTCGAAAGTCTGATAGAAAAGACAGATACAGTAAAGCTAGTGCTATGCATCAGCAAAGATTTTTTGATCAAGACATTCCATCGTTACCTCAGCTTTGATCTTTTCAACCACACTGCAGCGCACACCGGACTGTCTGGTAAAGAAAAAACAAAAATATAAACTTGGTTCCTTGAGTCATGAAAGAATGACATGTAATGTTTCTCCCTCTGCTGTAAACAACCAACCTCCCAGTTACTTCAAAATCTGCCTGGTGGTTGTGCAGTATAAGGAAGTAGGTATCGGTTGCTGGACAACCCTCGAAAGTTGTAGTTTAAAAATGATGTCCTTCAGTTGCTGTACTGAGGTAGACTTTGTAGGAATCAGTAAAGGTTTGTGGTAAAGGATGCCTCAGGTTGGAACTTAGAAATCAAACTAGATATTATTTGAGGATTTTGTTGGATTGAGGAAGGTAGAGCCAAGCCACTTCAACTCTACTAGAGATTAAATGCCTCTTGAGAACTGAAGTACAAAGACTATGCAGTTGGTTTCCTGCATAATGGAGGATTTTGTGGGATTCAGGAAGGTTACAAGTGAGAAAGCTACGGAAGTTATAGTCAAGGAACTTACAGGTGGTGGTTGTAGAAGGCGTCCAAGTTGATATCAGGCATTTCGTCAGGGTAATTGTCTCCCCATCTTATTTCCAACAGAAAGGATTTGTAATGACCCTCTGTACCTATCTGATAAAGAACGCGTGCATTTTCCAATCACAAGAAGCTGTAATTCCTGTGGACCAATCACCTTTGTCTGTAGAAACATACTGTCCAATTAGCTGTGACTACACAAACATGTTATCCAATCAACTATCACTAGAAGTTTTCACAAAAATGCATTGTCCAAGCAGATGTGACTGAACAATGCATCGCAAACATACAGTCCAATCAGCTCTTACTGCATAAACTTCCTGTCCAATCACCTCTGATGACATAGACTCATTGTCCAATGTGATATAGCTTCACAAATATCTGGGCCAAACAGTTTTCAAAAAGGTTGTCATGGCAGAGTGTAGGCTGGAACTTGAAACAATTGTCAAAGTAGTCTGAGTAAGTCTCTTCTCACCAACTAGCAAATCTCTGTTGGTGTTCCGTGAGAAATATAAACAATGTATACTATACCCTGTATTGATAGCAATTCTCTATCTGTTTGAAGCATTCGTCTCCATCATATATGGACAGCAGAACTTCTTTCTCTTCCTGAAATACACATGAAGAACAAAAAATGGAAAAATACTGCAGAAAGCTAGCCAGATGAATCTGATTAGTTGGCAAAGTTTCCATCAGAAAACACCACACAACTTATTAAAGACGGCCAGATAGCATGGATAGTTAGTACTTAGTACTTCTACAATTTTTTCCCCACACCAAGCACTATTCATGTGCCTGAATACATCAACCGATTGTCCAACATTTCCATGATTCTGTCTGATGTTTTGTCTTTACTTACCTCTTGAGCCTCTTTACAGGCCATAATCGCGTTGTTTAACTTTAAAAAATTCAGTTCAAAATCGCAGAATCGGCAAGCGAGACCGCACGTCGCGAAAGATCGGGAAGTTCGCCAGTCTAGCTTGATGTACTCAACTCCCGCAAACTCGTGTGTGACGCCCTGACGTCGTTTGCTAAAACCTGTGGATTACATTTTCAGCCGATAAACTTCACAAAAATGCGGTCAGCGATTTACCGCTGCAGTTGCCATCACAAATTGACGGGAACTTCTCTCTCTTTACGCATCCAACCTGTCTTCTTGTTTTATTTATCAAGAATTCATTAGGCCATTAGTTCTTGGGCAGAACAGTGTACGGTAGTGTACACTCGTGCGTGGTACCGGGATGCTTCAAAATATAATGTTCACCATAAAAATTGTCCTTCGGTTTCGTAGCATTGAGGGCGCTAGTACATCGGTGATCATTCGCTTCTCCTCCAACTTGGTCGAGTGGAAATATTTCTGAGTCCAGTCTTCAGTTTTTACAAGACTGGGCCCAGTTTCATGAAAATAGCAGGAAAATAACTTATTAGCGAATCAAGTTGAACGTAATTCAACTACAAGACACTTTGTAGGCCCACGATATTAGCCCTTCGGTCTCGCACTTTGTATAAGTGGTGAGCTATTTTGTGTGTTCCTGTCCATGAGTAATCGATCCATGGATTCTACGACATCGCGTGTCCAACAAATGAAAGCGGTCTGTGAATACATGTATTGCATTTTTCAGGGTGGGCTCTGTGTCTCAAGTTCAGTTGACGCAATCCGCTGGGCGGGCATACCAGTAGGAACCTTCAACTCAGTAAGGAAAGCTCAGCCTCAAAAAGAGGATACCAAAAAGAGATGTGAGATGGAAAAATGACATGGTTTAAATCAAGCGGCAGAGGTTTTGACAATTAATGGACACAGGCAAAAGGCCGCTGAAGCAACACATCAGGCAGAGTTCGTTTGACCGCCCAAAACGGCGCTGTTTTGGTTAACTTTCGATTCATGATTCATAGAAAAAGCAACATGCACAATTTAGCAATTTCGCATATTCCATAATATCATTAATTTTTCAAGAGCTTTATTAAATACCTGTTTTATGATCTCTGTTGACAGGGATTGACAGCTGTTCATTCAACCATCCAAGGCGGCAACGGCGGTGTTTTGGTCGAGTTAACTATTTTGACCAATTCATATAGTTTAGGGTCCGATTTCTAAGGACAAGTGAATAGGGGGGGGCGTGGTTCATCATTGAGGGGAGCCTCAATTGGTATGCCAGCTTCAAACATAGAGGAAGGACACAGGAGGAGTTGCAACTGCGCAAGCATTAAATTTAATGTTGTTATGAGATATACCAAGCACCAACAAATTCATGAATATTCAATTTCCTATACCTCAGTACACAAAGTTGTAAGGATGCAGATTAACAGCAAAGAAATTGCGGCGGTGAGCAATCGCTCGCTGCGCTGTGGACATGACGAGAATGCCAGAAAACGATACTTGGCCAGATGTTATAGCCTGGGTAGTTCAAACTCCTGTATCCTTCCTCTATGGTTCAAACAATTCACAGCTCTGTCAGCTTCATGTTGAGCAAGAGAATGTGTGTTCTGAGAGAGGGCGTACCGTTGTCCCCCTCGTCCGTGCACGGGGCTCAGCTAACATCGAGTTCTACAAGTATTGGCGGTTACAGAAGTAATGACCCTGCATCAACCACACATGCCACATTTGTCTTGGCACCAGTGGCTGCCCGAATCTCTCAGGTCAGAGCAGAGTCAGAGTTAATTCAATTTACGCCAAGGAAACAGGTTGTCTGGATGGGCGGCTTCTGGACCTTCAGGCTATCCAGCGTCACTTCTTAGTTCTATAACATCGGCATCATGTTCAGTTCCGCGCTCCGGCTGAAAATCTGCACGTCCCTTGTAGGTGGCTTTGCTCACATGTCCTGTTCTAGTGTGCGTCCAACCATTTCCAAACTGAAGATTGGAGTCATTCCATTTAACTTGAATATCAAACAAATCCAAAAGTGCCGGAGCTTCAGACGATGCTAGAACGAAGCCGACACCCCTGATGTTTTTCCAACTACCCTGGAGCATACAGTGAATTCGGGTCGAACCTTGGTACAATGCTATAGTTTTTATGACTCAATTGCTATTTTTAAACAAAAGCTATCAGAATACCGTAGCCATGATTGGGGTGTCCCGCTAGTGCGCAATAAAATAACGCATGTGGTCTTCAAGACTTGGGCCGTTTTCCAATGCTCAACTTCGGCTCCGTCTCAGGCTTCAATTGTTTTTTACTAGCTGACTTTGAAACTGTAAGCGCAGTAACCAGTCTAATAGTGCCACAGAACATCAAATAAGATGCAAGAGAGCCGGAACTTACAGTAATCCAATTTAATTTAAACGCTTCAGGCCCACAATTGGGAATTGGTTTTGGGAACGAGGCCTGCGACGGAACCCAAGTCGACTTATTGGAAAAGGTCCCAAATCTACAATGTTAGGCACAAAATGACCAATCACGCCTTCGGTTGTATCTAATCATGATGAATTATGAATGCCAAGGCTTATTAGCAGCTAAGAAAGAAAACCATTTACAGTAAATCGCTTTTGACCAATAAGATCAAATGCAAGATTTTTTTTTTTGGGGGGGGGCTTTCTGGAATTTTCTTCAGTGTTATTTTAACACTAAATGCCGACTTATGATAGTTGTCAGCACCGCGTAGCGTGGATTCTTAGGACTACCGCGCTGGCGCCGTTACCTTAGTCGAAGCATGGGGTTGTAAGTTTGGCGGAAGAGATGGCCAACCAGGAACCGGGGATTCGGGGCATGAGTCAGGGGGTGCCAGGCGACAGTTGCGCATCCTTCACTCACGATCAGTCCACTCACGTGGGAAAAATGTGTGTATCTCGCATTGGCACGTGCCCTGGATAATTCGTGAACAGTTTCTGTTTAATTACTGCTGATGTGAATTGACAATTCCTAGTTGAGAGTTAAAAATATGTTTACGTGTTTGTGCTCGGCCCATTACTGGTAACTTGATTGCCGTTCCTCGTTACTTTTTTTTTTTGGAGGGGGGGGGGGCGGGGGGAGATGATGATAGCGAAGCTTGAAGGTCTTGATCTTCAGCAAGATAACATTAATGTTATCAGTAGAGGGCGGGCTTTAATGTTATCAGCCTTTCGATCTGGCAGATCATTTCCTCCTGGGACACCAGTGCAAGTGCGGTGATCAACATTAGCATAACTGTACATGTGCACGCATACGTACGTATGTCACGAGTGAGTGGTTTGCAATGGGGTGTTATTTTTGTAATGAATGGAAAGTCGATATCTCGACGGACTCGCCAACCATGGGTTCGTTGGGTTGTAGCTACGCTGCTAACGTGTCACTATTTCAGTAGATCGTGTAGTGTTGGCGATGCTGCATGGCGGCGTGTTCACGGTGAGAAATTAGATCACCCTTGATTGGTCGTGTTGTCTGTCTCTCTGAAGCCGCTGCGACGTAGTGGAGCTAGGGCCAAGCTTTCTTCACGGTCACAGGGTGAGTTGTCAACATGCGGAGCCGACAATGCAACAAGTTGGTGTTCGCCCTTTTTGTGTTGGGCGCTTTCGCCTCGGGAATGCTGTCTGGAATATATTACGAGGCCATGTCGGCTGACATGCACGTCGGGGTCCGGGAGGCCGACAGGGCGAACATCAACGGTGGTAAGCCGAACGGACAACAGAGCCTGGGTCACAGTGTTGGTCCACAGCCGGGCAAAGACAATCTGAGAGCTGACAAGACACTGGACCACATTCACCAGAAGACCAAAACAAACACACAAGCCGAGGCAGAAACCAAGCCCAAGGAACCAGTTCAATCCGGGGCCAGTAAAACCATTGACTCGGGCAAGCATGCTCAGATGAAGGAGCAGCTTAAACGGGGACAGAGTGATGACATCTTGCATGCAGATTCTGGCAACATGGATGGATTACCAGATGTGGGTGAACACCATGCGTTCATAACTAGGAAAGAGTTTGGACGTCCCATTCGTCTTCAGCCAAATGCACCTCCACCTGTCTTAGCCAACCAGAAGTCCGGTCAAGACAGTGTTGAGATGCGGAAACAGCAGCAGCAAAAACAATTGCAGCAACAACAACTTCAGCAACAGCAACAACCAAAGCCACAGTTGAACCAACAAGGACCACAACAGCAAAAGTTTGCTCAGCAAAATGCGCCGCAACAACAGCAGCAACAACAGCGTCAGCGGCAGAACATGCAGCCAGCCAATGACAAGCCACAGTCAAACCTGCCGCCAGGCAATCCGCCTCGTGCAGCTCCACCGGCACGTATGCCCGCGGCTGCAGCATCGGGTCTGAAGCCGGACCAGTTGGCAGCAGCCAAAGCCCAGGAGATCAGCAAGAATATAGAGGAGAAACTCGCCAGCGAGCCCATACCAAAAGTAGACGGCAGAATCATGGTATCAGTGGTGATCTGCGGGGACAGAACCGACGAGGCACTGATGATGGTCAAATCCGCGGCCCTGCTGACACTGTCGCCCGTACACTTTCACATATTTGCCGAAAAGGAATTACAGGCGAACATAGTCGCCAGACTCAAGTCTTGGCCGCAGCCCTACATTTCTAGGATAAGCTACGATATCCACGACATCGCATTCCCACCCGGCGAAAATGCCGAGGAGTGGAAGAAAATGTTCAAGAAGTGTGCAACCCAGCGTCTATTCATCCCTGACCTGTTGTTGGACACGGATGCCCTCTTGTACGTGGACACAGACATCTTGTTCACCAAGCCCCTAGAGTACATCTGGAGCGTCTTCAAGAAGTTCAACAGCACCCAGCTAGCCGCCCTCACCCCAGAGCACGAGGTGACCAGCATCGGCTGGTACAACCGCTTTGCCAGGCATCCCTATTACGGTCCGACCGGTCTGAACTCGGGGGTCATGCTCATGAACTTGACCCGGATGCGAAGGTTCGGATGGTCCAGCACGATTCTCCCTATCTACCGGGAGTACAAACTGAAGACGACTTGGGGAGACCAGGATTTGCTGAATATTCTTTTCCACTTCCATCCTGAGTTGGTCTATGTGTATCAGTGTGAGTGGAACGTTCGGCCGGACCACTGTATGTACTCCTTGAACTGCCATCGCGTCGAAAAAGAAGGAATTGGGGTCATACATGGCAACAGAGGCGTCTATCACAACGAGAAGCAACTCCCCTTCCGCGCCATCTACGAGGCTTTCCGCGATTACCAGTTTGGCACTGATCTGAACTCGGGACTTGTGCAACCCCTGAAGCAGCGCTTTACCCAGTCGGATGTTGCCAGCATGTATTGCACAAAGGGTTTACAGCATCCCCTAATTGCTACTCTGCAAAGATATGCCAAACATCGGCAGTAGAGAGTTTCCAATGGAAAGTACTTACGGTCCCCACTGTAGAATTTGTGTACAAATGACCTCAAATTCAAACCTCTGTGCAAGTTTATTTAAACTTACCACGTCTAAGATGTGGGGGAAGGTTTTTGAAGCAAATTTGTTCTGATTCTATTTCCAAACGCTGATAAAAGTCATGTTGTATGTTTTGTATGCCAGTTTAAAGGTTAAAAAACCTTGTACTTTTTATTTATGTGTGAATGGAAAAACAAGCCCAGTCAGGGTTATGACATGTAAAATCATGAGGTAATGTCCATTTCAGTTAATTTGTAAAACAAAAGTACACGTAATGTAAAGTGAATGTGTTTGTAGATGTCACAGAGTTTTTGAAAAGAGCAGGGTCTCAGCTGTAACAGTGCAAGTCACTATTGTTACTTTCTCAGTCATGAATTTCCAAATTTAGGCTATAAATCTGGAGTGATTGATGAATCAAAGACTGGGGTTTGCATTGCTTATGAAAAGGAAACAGCTCCGAAAAATATTGCTTCAAACTTTGCCTGCTGGAGCCCTGAAATATTTTGCTTGGTAAAGGAGTGTTTCGTCTCCAGACAGAAAAAATCAGTGGAAGAAATTTACATTGCAAGAGATATTTGAAACAAATGGATCACTTGCTCTCTGCCGTGTGCAAGTTTTTTGTTTTCATGTTTTGTTTTGAGACAGTATTTTGTGGGAGAATGTTTCTGAAAGGAAATTACCTGACCCAGTGTCCATACAATCATGAAGTCAGTTTCTGCTTAATATTTATGAGAGATAACATGTTCGGGAATGGCTTCTGTCAAATATTCCAAAATGCAAGCAAAGCTACTTATTCAATAATTATTCAATAATTGTGATATTTTATTCAGTTCGAGTTGTTATTGTGTTTTTCAAGTTTTGGTTTGCTCACCAAGACTCCAGAAAATTAGAAGACAGAAATAGATCAGGATGATATACATTTACATAAAATAAAGCTAGAAATGACCTAGCAGGCACGATGTACTGTATAATTTACAAACAGGGATCAGTAATGTCGTTTAACTGAAGTCAGTAATTTGGTACTGTGATTTCACGACCTCTTTAATTTTTTCCAATTAAAGTGTTGCTGTTTTCACTGTAACATATTTTATCATAAAGATTATAGAATTGATATTGTCTTTCAAACGAGTTTCAAATGGTTGGGTTTTTAAGCTTGAAGACACATATTAAATCCAGTGATTTAAAGCTTTTTTCTTCTCATATTTTGGCCAATACAGTATATTCTAAGTTGATTTACATACTGCTGTATCATGTAACATTGGTAATTTTTCTATCTTTCAAAAAAGTATCTCGAGTATCTTTGGTTTTTACACGCCAAGAAAAACAGTGTCTTTTTGTGGTTTGCTTGCAATTATAGACTTGTCAGGTATTTTTGAGCTTCATTTCTGAGCTTGTTTTAAAATTCCAATCATTTTTGTGCAGGCGTTCCTAGAACTTGTCCTTTGACCTTTTTGCATCGATGTGGTTGTCGCACGCATCCATGTTCAGCCAGCCATGCATAATGTGAATGTTTTGGACATATGGAGGGGATAGAATAATTGTCGCATACGTGCACAGTCTTCTGTAAGTTCCTTAGTGTTATTAGCAGAATGGTTGAACAAGAAATGAGAAGGCGATAACATGCTTCTTGGGTCAACAGACGATGTATATTTTTTTTATCGTAAAGGATGCAGATAAGTGTATTGTATATCTGGTTCCAAGTTGTTCGCCATGTCTTTCATACTCTTGTATCTTTCTTTGATATGCTCAACAACAGATAAAAATATGTACTTTTACGTGTTTATACTTTATTGCACTTTTTATTAATATTGTTTTCTTCACAAGTGACCTTATTAGAATAAAATGTGATCACTAAAGGCAGGGTTTGGTCTTGGAATTTGTACAGTTTGAAGAACTTAAAATTCACCTCTTTTGGACAGATAACGCTGGGTTTATTGGATGAGGTTGGGTGTTTCAAATGAATGCAGTTTGTATTTCACCTCACTTAATCTGGGTCATCTTTACAAGGGCCTTTCGACAGACTACACAAAATTTACAATGAGCAGTGAGGCTGTTTCAAATGTAGTTATGTTTGGTCCTTGACCTAACAAGAAATTTGACCTTTTTACAAGAGATATTAGAAATCTGTTTTCAATATGGCCATGTACAGGAATTCCATTGTAGATTAGCGTGTAATGTCATTTTGGTAACAGATGGTTTTTATCGAGTCCTTTCCTAGCTACTTGTTATGAACACAAACCAAGGAGGAACTTTTTTTAATTGAGCAATATGAAGATTTATCCTTACAGTCTTTCCTTCCTTTCCTACCTGAAAACATTTTCATGATACAATCGTCGAGGAATACAGCAAGTCTTTGGGAACATTTTGTGATCTACTGTTTTTTTCCACTGCTGCACGAGTTGAGAATTTTTCATAAGAGTTTTGTCATCAAAGTTCTGTGAAATTGTAACCGCATGGCGGGTGCACAGTTAGTCCTGAGGTCAATAGGTGTGGACCCTGCCGAATGAGTTCGATGGAAAATCTCTTCCGTCCGTCCAGACTGATAGATAAGTTTTATTTGCTCAGTCGTACGAATAAAACTAGCTTTCATCAGAACACGATGGCAGCCATATTTGCCCAGAGCCAATTTTTTTTTAATCACGGCCATTCAACCATTACCGCTGTACTTCGACCTCTGAACCAGCAATTTGGCGATCAGATGTGTTTAGAATGAAATGGCTGCGGTCAGGTGTTTGTGTCTTCTCGGTTCGAGGCTGAGGAAATCGAGTAATTTGAGGTTGTGGTGGAGACGTCAGAGTCAGGATGTGGTGATGAGACGGTTGTCTAGTGATGCGCAGCGGGCTTTGGCGGTGATAAATTCCCCATTCCCCGTTAAATTCCCGCGGGATCTAACGGGGAATTCAACTTGCCGGAAGGTACAAGAACTTGAGTTTAATTATTGCCTACAGAAGCGGTAGGGTGAACAAATTACTAGATTGTGAACCAGCAAGTATGAACTTAAAAAGAGGTAAATGTCATTTTCAGCGTTCCTAGAAGTCGTATATTTTGCAAAAGATCGATTCCTTTCAACACTCGTGTTCCATCAGGAGAGAATCGATCCTCATATCACAACAAATTATTATACCCTTTAGAGTTGACGACCATGCTGACTTGAGGGAAGGATTGTGAAGTATGGGACCCGACGGGGAAACAGTACCTCGATTTCTCTATGGGGTGAGTTACCAGACTGCGAGTGTTGATCCACAAAGGTGGGAGGGGTCAAATCTGCTTGGGAAGTGGGCGGAATTAGAATGACATCATATAGATTGTTACATTAATGTTGATTGGATCGCAGTGAGCTAACCATACACTGCGTTTTGTAGAATTGCTCCCAAAAGTTAGGACAGTAAGCGGCAACGCACTCTCTGTGTTTTTTAATATATATTTTTAATTTCACCGACACCACTGTCTGGTGCAACGGACTCAGTAGACGTGAGCAGCTCGTTCCACTTGAGTGACTAGTGATGATGGATAAGCCATCTGTCTTGAGGATAGATTAGTTCGAGTGGGTGCGAGATTCCTTATGAGTTAGGAGATTTGTCCCATTCAATTTCCAACAACATCTGTCGGCACCATTTCTGCTACTTAGCCTGGGAGATGTAACTTCCAGATGCTGTTGTCTGCAGTTATTGATTTGGTCAATTTGACCCGTTTATTTAGGGGCTCTTTTTTTTGTTTGTTTTTTTGGAAAGGTGGGGCATTGCGCTCGTCGGCCACGCCAGGCGAGAAGTTCTGGAGGCGGTCACGCGTCAAGCCCGACTGGGCTCCAACTTCGCCTACATCAATGACAAGGAGCTGGAACTAGCTGAAGAAATCGTAGGCTTGTGTTTTTACTTCATTTTTTCTACCTCAAAATGGCATTTTGTTCAACCATTGGACTTTTTATGTGATAAGTATTCGCTTCAGTGCACACGCGGTTAGCGTCTGTGGCGTCCAATCATAGGGTTGGAGGTTCGAATCCAACTGCTGGCATTATGTTGTGGCCCTTGGCAAGCCACTTCACCCCTGCTTGCCTCTTTCCACCAAGGAGTGTATAAATGGGTACCGACATCAGCTGGGAAGAGGGGATAAAAATATTCTCATTCGTTTCATGCCAAGGAAACTGGAGATAAACACCGGCCCGATGAGCCAAATTGGCCCGGACCAGACTTGCTTCTTCGACACGATAAAAACCCCGCCTTTCAAGAGGTGGTCATGTCACGGGGTGGGGCTAAGGAAGATAAGGGTGGGCAACAAAAAGACATACAGGTTTTTTTAGCTGATATAATTATGACCCGAATGGATCCCAAAGGATAACACAACCGTTGACTTTTTTTTAATGAAGATGACCCTGGAACTATGATTGAAACGTTGACTAAATCGATGTTTAGCACTCCTTTTAAGAAATCAAACGACTCAGAGAATAGAGCGGCATTCATCTCCTCGATGATTGTCACCAGAATTGGTCTCTTATACACAAATTGGAATATATATAGGAAATTATTCTGACTGGTGTTACAGATCAAATTGAGCCCAGCCGTGGAGCAGCTACGATTCTGCGCATCGGGTGGGCAATCGTGAAATCAATGTGTAAAAGCGTGTAACTGGTTCTTAATTCGTTCCTCGTGTACTGAGGTGTAAGCAGAACGAAGTGGTCAAGTGAATAAGCCATGCAGGTCACGGAAAGCAATCAATCAAATTAGCTATTTCCCGGTGGCAATCAGTGATAAATTGGATAATTGTTAACAGGGTGTTGATAAATCTGCAAAATTGATTGGAAACACAAAGTCTTTCTTTAATGGTGTGTCTTCAATCAATCACTCAGATCTTTTATGGAGGAATCTCGTGTCCTTGTTAATGGTGCTCCGCAATGCCAGATGCATTAAAGAAATATGCTTACCGAGCCATTAAGAAAATAATCAGAAGTCGGGCTGCGGACGAAATTTAACTGCCAACAGACACGTTGCGACACGATCCTCTGGGACAATATTTGGAAGGAAAGCACCTTAACGAAAGCTTGTCCACTTCTTAATACATACGTCCTTAGCCATTTGCCTCTTATCACTGGCATGGAGGTAAAGCTCTTCGAATGACTTAATAAATTTGCCTTTCATGTTGGTGACCTTGACGACGAAATCCTTCCAGAATTTTCCAAAGTTGATAGGCAAGCCTTCATGCCTTGTCAGTTTTATTGACTGCCACAAACTACAGCTGTTCCTGGAATGTTGAAGAGATTTGACAGGTTTAAACGAAAGACCGTTTCACACATGACTTGTCACGAAATAGATTAATGCCCGACTAGGGCTAGATAATGTGGCGCACACAATAAATTAACCAACTCACATTTTTCGAATGTCGAGCGTCATTACTTCTTGCCTTCCACGCATCCTCAAGATCGCCCCTAGGTAAGACTTGTTTAGTTGAAGATCTTGCGTTGTAGAAAAAGACTCACCTTGGACTTCGAGGGCAGCATAAGGTCCCGCGTCAAAACACTTCGGGTGACTCCTGGTTGAATTAAAGCAAGGTCTGGGTACAAGGGAAGTGAATTTAGTGACTAATATTTTCGTTAAAATTCGCTGGGGCAGGAACGGAAGCTACGATGTATTGTGATTGTCTGGCTAGGGCTTTCACCAGCAAGACTAAAATGCTCAAATTTGAAGGTAGGAAAAAAAACCACGACAAAGCTGCATGATCATAAATAAGAAACAGGCGTTAAAAGATTGGAGAGGGGTCAGAAAGGGGATAACTCACATGCAGTTCTGGTCCTCAAACATTTTCAATGGGGATACTAAATCGCCCCTACCTTTAATAGACAGAAATTGTCCTGAAACCCTCTTGTAAACACCTATCCCGGCGGGCCTGGGAAGATGTGTGGATACTCTGAGTGACGTTTCCTGAAATCTTAGCTTCCATTTTTTTTTAAACAAAGCGGTTCATTGTGAGCGGAGATGAGGTGGCCTGTCGCCACTCGTTTATTATTTTTCCTAAATTTGCTGTTTCAGCAATACAAGGAAATGTCAAGGGTGGATCCGGGGGGGCATCCCCGCCCAAAGCAAAAGGACATTTTTTTTTAATACCAGTAATGAGAAAAAGGCAAATTTGTGGTCTTTTTCGTTCCCATTCCTTTCAAAAGACTATAAAAAAGCACAAAATGTAGGCTATAAAGGATAGACGATAAAAAGTTCTAGCACCCCCTCCGAAATTTTGGTTCTGGATTGGTTTTTGGGAAACTATTTCCCTGTATGGGTGCTTTGGCCAGACCTTGAAGGGTTTTGAAACGCAATTGAACGTAAAAATCTTCAAATGTGAAGTTTTCCTGGGCTTGATATAAGACTTTTGAATGTTAACATTTCGAAAAAAATTTTCACTCAACAGTCGGCAGTGCGATGTCGTGTTCCCAGCAATCGCTCTCTGTATCTTCCAGCTATCACGTGAATTGGCAAAAAAATCATAAACTTCCTAGCTCAAACTCCCTAGCTCAATCAGCCTTGGGCCATTCAACTTCAAGGGTTCCGCTTGGAGCCCAGTAGGTGCGAATCCCCTGCACCACGGTGGGGGCGTGACGCCGGTGGCATAAAATCTGCAGTGACTGTGGTCTCACTGGTCTGCCAGTCCGAGCGCTGCTCATATCGACATTTGTTACTGCTAGAAAAGCGTTTACACATGGACACCACAAATTATACCGCTAAAAAAAGGTCTGAAAAGAATAGCTCTAACCAATTGGGAAAAGAAAATCGGCGATTTTACAAGACAGGCTGGAAGAAATGCATATTCTGTTTGTGGTCGTGTTAAGAATAATCAATTATTCTGTCAATCTAAACATAATATTTACGAAGCTGAACTGTCAAATCAGTCGCGTTGATCTAAATGGTGGTTGATTTTCGGAGTGGCATACTCTTACCGCGTTCTTCCATTGCACTGCACAGGTGCCTACCACGATGGCAACGACATTGGCGTCTATTTTCCCATCAACTGCGAGAGTATCCCTAGCCGGTACCGATGAGCGCATGTACCAATAATTTAGATAAGTTCAAACTATATATTAATAGCAACATATTCTTATGAATTATTTTCTGGTAATGACACCAAGGATTCCTTGAATGAGCGCCTTAGTCACTGTAGCTTACAAGCCTGAAGAAACCTGTAGAGAATGAAGCAGTTACATTTTTAGAGGTGGGAGGAAAACCCCTCGGGGATATTCTGGTAATCAGGTAGGGACTGGCAACCCAACCCACACGTGGACAGAGCCAGGAATCAAAGAGGTTAAAGGTGAGGGAAAGAACCACTACGTCAACCTAACTCTTTGTTTGGCAACTTGTTATTCAGTTTGTCTTCTCCTTCGAGGGCATAAGTCATTTAGTAGATGGTCACGTCTTGGTGTCTCCGTACAACGATCTTGGACAAACAGAAAGGTTCGTGGAGCAGTACGACCTCGCCGCGGTGATGGTGGAGCCCTTACATCGATGTACGAGCCCGAAGGTTAAAGCATTCCCGACACGTTCTCTCAATCACCAAGAATGTGCCACCGTTGGGGTGATATTTGTGAGTCTGCACTCAAGAGTGAACTCACTTTTTATCTAGAGAGTATTTCAAGCAAAATGAGCTGTGATTTGTATATAGGCTGTGTACATTTGATAATATCAAATGGGGAAGGGGTGTCACAGGGGCACTATACGGGCTTCCCCTGGGACAGTTGCACCACCGTATCCGGCATGAGCTCAGAAAACTGTGGCCAGAACCAAAGTCACAGACAAAAAAGGTGTTGCTCTGAGCAAAACAAGTTACCAGTCAAAAACATCGCGATATGCCAGCTTTTCTCAGCTGATGGGTAGCAACTCATAGAGCAACAGTAAGCAAAGAAGTCTGCTAACTAGTAGGAGAGAAAGCAGTATACTTAGCAAAACAGCTCACCACATAAAATGCTACACAGTGCATGCCTGTAGTGACTGATTCAGGGCAGAGTTTTGTTAGCAACATTATTCAGCTTATATATCACCCCTGTGTAGTGGATGCGGCTGGTTTTTTCTCTCCTAGCACGTTTGCTAAGCATTATTTTATGAGTTGAAAGTGACTATCGTTCGTCATTTGACATACCACATTTTGGTCACTAAAATAAAGGAAAGCACTGACAGTTCTATTAGATTTCAATTGAGTGTGATTTATTCCGGGGCCCGTGTATTGATTCATTTTACCAAGGAATTCTGAAGTACAAACTCGATTACTTCTTTATTGGATCAAGATTACTATCGGCGTGAATTTGCAACTTTTTCCGTCTTCCTATCAGCCGGGTTTTCTGGAAGGGATCCGCGCTGTCACCAGACGCCACGGTGTGCTTCTCATTTTCGACGAGGTGGTGACTGGTTTCCGTCTGGCTTACGGCGGGGCCCAGGAGTATTTCGGCGCAGTGGTGGATACCCTTTCGGTGTCTTTGGAGGGCGCAAGGATATCGTAGGGCGGATGTGAAGCCCGACCTGTTCTTTGACCCCTCCTAGCCTTATCAAACCCCGCCCTAATAGGGATATCAAGGATGTAAAAAGATGCCATGATGCCAGAACTTACCATGATCAGAAATAATGTGAAAACAATCATTTTGTCTTCTTGTGACACCCTGTAAGTACGGTAAAAGTGAAAGGATTGTGATAAACTTTGTCACTACATATGCTGTATACAGTTGGGCTGTGACTCTGGGCGTGGCCTTTATTGACATAGGGGTGGAGTCTGTGATGCTTCTCCTCCCGCAAGGGTGCTCTCTTGCTTTTGAAGACGTCTCCTAACTTTTGACAGACTGAAAAACTTGCAGACCCGGTGCTGGTGGACTGAGTGCAGGTACCAAATTCGCGGCAGTCGAGGGTTTAGTCGGTTTCAACTCCACTCCAGTCAATTTCCTCTGCACGTTCAATAATAAACAGTTGTAATTTACGCGCAACTGTCACCCTAAATTGCAGGCTTGTTAGCGAGGACCACCTTGGGGTTGACAGTCGTTACGTGTGGACAGCGTCCTCTCTCGGTGGTAACCCAATAAGTTGCAGGGCTACACTCGCTGCGCTCTCTGTTACCGCCAGAAAGAAGAATTTACTTTCATTACACCAGAGACTTGACTTCCATAAATACAGGAGATTTTTATTTTGATCATAAGACTATGGAGTTCTTGTCAGTCTTTTCGTTCTCTCACGAAACGATCAAAAGTTGAACGAGAAATTCAGTCCACTTTGAGCAAATTTAGGGAACTAACTTTTTTCCTATACCCGGCTGATTTGATTACATGATCGTACGAACATCTGCATGCCATTGGCAAGTACCTACGTGACGGCATGACGAAATGCCTGGCTGATGTCAATGTCCCAGGTACAGCCGCGTATCAGAGATCTTGTTTCCCGACAAGAATTTTTTTAATCATGGGCCTGTCGACTGGGGATGGCAAAGCCCACAACTTTGCGTGCTCCTGTAAATCAACTGGAACTGCATGTTATCACGCTCCAATGAAAAGAATCTATGAGTGGGCGAGGCGTCTTCACTGACAGCTGTTCCTGACATCTTACAACACTTACATCTACACCCTTTTCATAATTCGAGTACATTTCCGTACAAACTTGCCATCATTTTCCAGGACGTAATACAGATTCGTGGCTTCGTTTTTATCTTACAGGTCATGTGATAGGTGACAGTCCTTTGGCACAGATATTGCACTGTGCTACTCTGGTTCGTGACTTCCGGCGGCAGAAGATGCAGGAGAATGGGGCTCAGAGACGCGCTGTTATGATTGGTCTGTTCAGGTGAGGATGTGCTGTCGTTGGTTACAGACCATCGCCCGTCGATACTATTCAGTACATGCCAGTAATCAAAACAGGCGTTTCACAACAGTGCGCCTCCAAGAGTTTGCAATGCGTTGACCAATCACAATGCGCGAAATTTGTCGACCCAGTGTGTGTTCGGAAAGTGTCGACAGATTTCGCGCGTTGTGATTGGCCAACGCGTTGTAAACTCTTGGAGGTGCACTTGGGGGTGAAATGCCCGTACTCCACGAGGGTTCAGAGAAGTTACTACACGCAGCCTGAAGACTAACCAATGCACGGACCTAACTGTTTAGGGCTGTGAATGGCACAGTGCTTTGATTTCAGTACATTATTTTTTCACCATAAAATATTCAAAACAACATTTTTTGAGAGTTTCAAGAGATTTTGAAAAGCAGGCTTTTACAAAATAAAATGAGATGAAAAATGGTTTAGCGAATGAAATTAGCAAAACAGCAGCCGTTCGTGACTGATTTGTTTATACCTTTTCTGTTCCAGACGAGGAATTTTTATCAATCCGATGGGCACCAAATTTTATCTATCACTGAAGCACACAATGGAAACTTGTGATCAGTTTCTAGAACACCCAGAAGACACTCTTGTCGAATTTAAAAGAGAGCGATCTCAGATAAGATGATGACCAGTTGGACTTAATACGCACCATTGGTATCACATATGCATGCGAATAAGATATATGACCGGGATTGTGTGAATCAATGGGCTAAGGCTAGACGAAACACATCATTGGGAAGTGGCCGTAGCCGCTTACCAGTGGCTTCCATAGGTACACGTGTCATTGTACTTGGCTTCAACTCCAAAATCGATCCCCAATTCTAGGCTAAAATGGTGTAAAAAGTTAACAAAAATACCACGATGTTTGGCTGTGTAACATGTAGTTCAGTGTTCTGCTGGCACTGTAACATCTAATTAATTGACAACTAACATCAAAATCAGTGGGTTAAAAATCAGGCGAAGCCGCAGACAGGTACAGTTGAGTATTGGAGAGAAAACTAGCCCCGGTTCCAGACTAATAGTCGGGAATGTCCTTGGAAATTCGCTTGAGAAAACTCGTTAGACATTGGCTTGAACAGCCAACTTGCAACTGATGTATTTGGAGTGAGGAAATAACTGTAAAAGAATTAATACAATTATTTCGAATAAGAAATTTAATAATTCAATCGGGCCAAACTTATTTCCACCTTGGTTTGCTCCCAAAAAAGGAAGTGTTGACAAAAAGTGTTGGAAATCAACCAGAATAACATCTTACCATTATTATTTAATATTCTGTGTTGTATTTTGTCAAAATTCGTTGTTTGCCATAGATTTTTACAGACCAGAATTTTATAAAAAATTACATATATATATCTAAAAACAATTTTTGTATTCGTGTTCCTAATTTTGTTAAAAGGGTTATCGTGAGGTGTGAGTTTCTTTTACCGAATCCATATGAAGCAAGTTTATTCCGATAATTCTTTTACAATACGGGCGATTCACAAAGTGCGCCTCCAAGAATTTCTTTGGGTCGACAGATTTCGCGCACTGTGATTGGTCAACGCATTGCAAACTCTTGGAGGCGCGCTATCGCCAAACACCCGTCAGCCCGTATTGAAAATTGAACAATCATTTGGTAATTTTTACAAGCGCTACAGAGCGCAAACTCACGTTTGTAAAAAAGAAAAAACTGCTTGGGATTTTTGCATGGCGCTGGCTCCGCTCGGGAGCGCCCCCATTCAGCAAAGCCAGGCTCCTGTCGGATCCGTTTTACCTGAACACGCCAAGGAAGATCCGAAAAGACGTTTGCAAAGAAATGGTACAGTTCCTCGTGTACCCATTTCACGTTTTACAACGGTTTTGCGCAGATGTGGCAGGTGGGAACAGACTACATTTTAAAAGAAAAATGGCTACATCCGCTTACCAGGTAATTTAGCTGCCAATTTTCAGGTTGATTTCTCTCTTAATGCAAATGTTCTCTCGTTTTCAGGGCAATAGTGGCTTTTGTTGCTGTGTCAGTGTTAAAACTGATTATCTTTTGCCGTTAGTTCTCACCAGCGTGCTCTAAAAAGAGGGTCGAATCCACACACAGGAGACGCGAGGCCTAGGCCTACTTCGTACTCACGGCCACGCTCGCACTACTTAGGCCTACCAAATACTAGCCGCGCCCCACTAGTGTGGCACGGATCACTCCCGATTTATCCTTAGCCACACATCCGTCTACGCAATTTTGTGTCGGCGTATTGAACATTCCGGCGCACCCACTTATCATCGTGGGTGCAATTTCTTTTGCACACGAACATGATTCTTGACCTTTCCGCTTTCTAAAAACCATTTATTAAATGATTTTATTCATGTTATTCAGGTATTTTCCAGTCTTTTTGCCTTTATCCATTCAATCTAACGGGCTCGCTCTCTCAGTCGCCATCTTTAAAATAAGGTTGTTGAGCATTACGTCACTTGACCCCTCATCGTTTTGACGGCCGTTCCATGTCAAGACATGTAATACACGGACTGAGCGATAAGATACTACATGTACCAATGGGCTCTTCCAAAACTTTGGCAGCAGTTTAGTTATCTTGACATGGAACAGCCATCGAGACGATGAGGGGGCAAGTGACGTAATGGCAATTTATTCCAATTTATCTCATCCTGGTGATGCTTTCTTCCCATCATGCCTAGTCCGAGTATTGGACCCTACACTGAACATAACGGCGCTCAGGAATTAGTCATGCCCCAAGAAAGGGTGCTTAGTTCATGAATAATAATGCACCGCTAAAGAGCGTGCCATGCAGAACTGCGGTTTTCAGCAGTGTGCATGAGCAGTTGTTCATTGGATTTTGAGCACGTGAGGTATGCTCAGAATATTTCGGGTAAGCCTGCCAGATTCTACAAGACTGGTTTTCTGGTAGGTCGTCTTTTGTGAATATAGCGCCCTCTACTGGTCATGTTATTTGGCTGTGCTTGCCAGCACATGCCGCCTGCATGGTGCAATGGCCAAAATAGGAAAACCAGTCTTAGGGCTAGACTACTCGGCAATCAGTCGCCCGACCATTTCCCAATGTTTAAAAAGCCAATATGTAGAGTCTAAGTTACTTGGACCACATCACATGCTCATTTTGGCAACATCTGATAGTCATTCAGCCTATGTACAGTCGAACTCGTTAATAACAGGTCCTTTGGACTTGGCCAATTACCTTGTTATGACAGGACCCTTGTATTATCAGGAATGCAAACAGTGAAAATCAAAGGATTGAGACCTAAAAATTTCCTTGTTAGAAGCAGAATCTTGTATTTAACATTGCTCTAATTAACCAGGTCTTGTATTTAACATTGCTCTAATTAATGAGGTCTTGAATTTAACATAGCTCTAACTAACGAGGTCATGTATTTAACATTGCTCTAATTAACGAGATCTTGGATTTAACATTGCTCTCATTAACGAGGGCTTTTATTTAACAAAGCTCTAATTAACAAAGTTCCACTGTACTGTCATTTTGTTGATGTTATATGTCTGACAGTCTAACTTCAAAATGGGTGTTTGTTGTCAACATGACCCCAAAAAACAAAGAATTTAAGATTTGACGTGTCACACATCCTGTTCGTTTGATAAATCCCCCTTTGTATTCATCACACTCCCAGAGAGGGACTAGCGGGCGCCTGTCAATGCTCGAAAAGTCTCTGGAGAGACGACGTGTGAACAAGGAACACAACAGCAACTTCCGAGCTGGTCATGTGCCAGTACACGAAGACCACCTGCACAAGACGGGGCTTCGCGGGAGAAAGCGTTACTTTGCCTACTGCTTCCTTCTGTTATTGTACGTCGCTGCTGTTGGCAACTTAGCAGTGAGTAGAGTCGTAAATGTTTGATGGGGCCGCACGGACATCAAGGAGTTTCACAAAGTTGCAGGTAGCGACCGCGCCGCGCTGGTGCAAACAACTGCAACGAGCTTGCGCATATGTACTGATCAAAGAAAAGATTGTGTAACTCGATGCTCGGACTGGCTGGTGCGTGCTTATGTCGCCATGGTCACTGTTTTCACTGGCGGGGTACGTGCCATTTTGCGAGAATCCCAGATGTCCGCGCTGCCCCTTAACTTTATTTTGTGCAAATTTGGAACTTGACCAAATTTTTCATCCTCTTTCAGCGTGATGAGAGACTTTGAGAGGCTGAGGGCAGTCATGCTGATCCTTTTTCGCATATTTCGCATTCTCATATGTGCACATGCTCAGAACAATGTGCGTGTGCTCAGAACTGCTACAAAGGACCGTTATGTTTGCCACCACCAAGAGCCTTAACCATTTCCAGCCGGGGCATTAATCAATGTTGATGATGCTGGGGCGGGATATTTATCATTTTTTCTGTTTTCAAAATTCTTAAAAAATTCCTATCTTCATTTACTGAACACTTACAAACACGTGAAGGCATGTCTGGTGTCCACTCTAGCCAGACAGACAAAATCTATTGACGCCCGAGTATTTCAGCCAGGCCTGCAGCCTTGTAAAAAGAGCCCAGATTTTGTGGTGTTACATAATATTCTTTTGTTCACGAACCTGGCTCAGTGTGCGCTACTGACCTCTTTTCAATAGGGGCCAGATTAGCAGGCAGCGGTGCTGTGTGGCTCATCGCTGCGGTGGTGGAGCGCCTTTGTCCCCGTTGGTAATCAGCTGGCTCTAAATACCCCAAACCATGGTATACCATGGTTTCAAACAAGGCAGGATTATCTCCACTTTTGACAGTGAAAAACTGTTGGTAATGCCCAGCAGCCTGGTCTTTTGTTCCAAGTACGGTCTTTTGTTACAAGGCCCTGTTCCCTTTGTCCGAGTTCGGAGACCCCGGCCACACATATAAAGCATACGTGTCCGGATCCAGTGTCCCCGGCAGGAAGTGGTTAAGGTTTCCCACTATCCTTGGAGCCAATTCATTTCAACCATGCATGCTATGTAAATAAGGAAAAACCTTACATAAGGTCCGTATTTTGGCCTAACACCTATGCATAGTTTAGAAATCATGACCTGGACTGACTTAAAGACAGAGAAAAAACTGAAAACTGTACCAACTTGTCTTCTCATTTATTGCTGGTCAAACTTTTTGTTTTCCAAAGACTAAGTGCCCACGAGTTTTCAAATGAATTGATAGTTCTTTGGTACGAGCTCACCACACAGGCGGCAAATATATGCAAGTTGGACATGGAGCACGCTGAGTACGCGCAGCGATTTTATTCTGGAATGTATAGTCTTTGTATGCACACCAAACGCGTGCAAGAACCGGGTTGGAAAACTTGGTGCCACTCTGTCTTTCTTTTACTGGTGAGGGTACACTTCAACTGAGGGTAGATTTCACCTACCAGTATTTTTCAGCCGTCAGTTCCCGCCCAAAAAAAGGGATTTCTAATCATAGTTTTTCAAAATGTCACATTATCAATTCTATCAGAACATTCACCCTAAAACTCTTACGCCTACCTACATGCACCTAGGCTAGAAACCCTGGCAGACAAATCAGTCTGCATCATTTGTGGAAGTGGCCTGCCTGCCCAGTGTAACAAGATCTAACAGGTCAACTCTCCCCAAGGCCAAACAGCCTGGGAGTCTGTGGTTGCCAGTCACCACAAGATCCAACAGGTCAACTCTCCCCAAGGCCTAACGGCCTGGGAGTCTGTGGTTGCCAGTCACCGCAAGATCCAACAGTGGCATTGATCAATGGGACTAGCTCCCATTGTCTCCACGTGACCGGTTTGTTTGGCTGCTGTTGATGGCCCAGTGCATCAAAGGGCATCAGACTTTGCACTGTGCTGCATCTGGCAGTGTTATGGTTAAATTCTTTTGCCTGTTTCCTTTCAATACTCCATCCAGAGAGAATTGATTTTGTAAAGACAATTGGGGGATGTTTTCTTTGTCCTACTTTCAGATAACGGGCCTGATGATGTGGACCTTGCGCATTGACATGAACGGCTTACAGTCATTTCAGTTTCTCAAGGGTGGGGCGGTGCGATTCCTAGACGAGGTGGATATTGACAGCGTCGTCTCCTCACACGGAGAAATTGGCGGCTACGTAGGGCAGGACCTGGAGATAACGGGTCAAAGTTCAGCAGTAAGCATTGTTTGTGACCAGATTCCTAACTTTAGTCGTCACCCTAACGATCCCCAACCAGTCAAACTCTAGCACCAGGGCACCAGGGCTGTTGGAATCTGTTAGGATGAGTTCTGCGCTGGTACAGGAGCTGTTTCATGTAGGACTAAGCATACCTCAAATAAACAGAGTCCAGCTGTTCGTGTGCACAGTTTACTATATGGTCTTGAGATTTGCAAGGATGTGGACGGTTGCTAGGTAATCACCCAAGAATGTTAGACTTAAGGTAATTTTTGTCAGTCATTTTGTGGTAATTGGAATCAGAGCATATTGATGTTCAGTTGTCCATAACTATCTTCTTAATTATAATTATCCTCTTGTTTTGCTAGGTGCAGGTGGTTGCGTATGAGAAACCTGTTGCTTCAGGTAGGTTGTTGCAAAATGGACTTGAAATGATTAACCCTAACGGCCTAGGCCCTTTTGGCTAGGATGCGCCCTCAATCCTTCAAAATCCTCCGACTGCCCCCATGAAAAAATTGGATACAGCCTTCGTCCTCCAAAATCCTCCGATATTTTTGAATATGTTCTGTGGAAGGGTGCCTCAATGCCTCAATCCTTTAAAATCTTCCAGCAACTCCTCTCATTATGTTGCGACATTGTATGTAGCCTTGGTCAAGGCATTCATCATTCGTCGCAGCGTGCACCAGCCGCTCGCTGACCTAGGACGTACCCGCGCACGTACAGGTACACGTATATAGCTGCATACATTGCAAAATCAAGGCGAAGAGCGACCTCACGTGGCTTAAAAAAAATATGCAAATCAGCCAAACCGGGACAAATGCCTTGGTGCAGCCGTCCATGGAAGCTGTTTTGGACAGTGCTCATTATTCTTATGACAAGAACCGATGTTTTAAATACGCTTTTGGATCGGTTTATTGCTACATAGTAACTGCATAATTCAGGTGAAAGGTTAACTGAACGCATACTTGGCTATACATGTACATGACAAGTCAACAGTATTTATTTTGCCAGCTGATCAGAGTAACCAGAGATCGAGTTCGCCTTTGCTTTGCTGAGTGTGATTGATGTTTTTTCAAATGACTAGTGCTATGGGCTTTGTATCTGCTCTGAGGAGCTCCGAGCAGAAAGGTGTAGCCTGACAAATAACAGATTTCCCGTAGCCTGTTGGCAAAGTCACAAAAACGTTGTGACCCTGCAGAAAGTATTCTAAGGCTTGCCGCTGCTCGGCATAGAAATCACCCAACATTCATTTGTCTGCAGCAGAATTCAAGCAAAAAGACAACTCTTCGTGCTGCAGTCGTCTTGAATGGTCCGCCATTTTACATGGTTATCATGCATGCCAGTTCACGTTGATGTATTATGCATGTGTCTACTTATTATGCAGTGAGATTGGTCACTGTGCACTCATCGCACGCCTGCATCTATTCATATTCGCACACGAGGTCGTGCGCTAGAAGTCCAAAAGTACAGAAAAACAGAAGCTTCTGCAGACGGTTGCAGAAAGGGATTCGTCCTGGTTCAGTTGATTTGCATATTTCTTAGGCTGCGTGAGGTCGGTCTTCTCCTTGATTTTTGCAATTTATGCAAGTATGTACACTACATGTATATACGCAGGTACGTACTACATGTACGTCAGCGAGCGGCTGGTGCGCGCTGCGCTGCGCTGCGCTGAATGCCTTGACCAAGGCTACATTGTGTATGGTATCCTGGAGCAGTATGGATGATTTCACATATAATTTGATTTGATGCATGGCTGAACATAAACAACACAAGGTCTGACCTATAACTTCGAGACAATGTATCCTTCAAAAGCAGGAATGGAGTATTATCGTGGCAGCCTCAATCCTCCAAAACCGTCCAGTGGATCTTGAAGGGTTGGGGATGGCTACGGTTAATCTGAGTCTTTTCAATAACCAATGTGAAATGTCAAAGTCTCCAGAATAAACCCCCTGAACTTTCCCATTTGGAATCTTGTACAGTTGAAGTGAGTAGTGGAGAGACTGTCATGCGAGGTCGCAAGGGGTTAAAGGTCGTCAATCCGAGGTCAGGTGCAACGGTCTTCCACACCGACACCAGCAAGGAGGCGGTCTTGCCAGCACAAATGAACACGATGCAGTCCCCACTAATCACCACGAACAGGGTACAAGTGCCGCTTGTTAGCATAGCATCATTAGGCCAGAATAGAGGTTGGAGGAACTTGTAAATATTTCTGTAAATTTGTCTAAATTAGGATGGTGAAGTTCCTTTGCAGATAGACTATCAAGTAAAATTGATTGTACTTCATATTAATCAGTTTTCATTTTTGATGGTGATGGATTGAAATTATTTACCAGCTGAACTAAATTCCCAAAAGAAATGATTTTAGTACTGATTTCAGTCCCAAATAAAAGCTCTGGGAAGTTGGTAAAAAGTTTGCGATCTCTAATCATTATAAAGAATGGTTTTAATCATGGCAGTCATTGACCTCAATCTTAAACCTAACCCTGAGGGTACTGTGGCCAGAAACCCTGCCAGACACATCAGTCTGCATTATTTGTGGAAGTGGCCTGCCTGCCCAGTGTAACAAGATCCAACAG